CCACCACCACCACCACTCCCACCACTACTGGCCAGTGGGAATAGTAATACGCATGGTACTAGAGGTAGAGATAATGGAGCTAGCAGCGCGGCTGCCGTCTAGCCATTACTAGGCCTCGCCACCAAAGATCGACCTCCGCAGGTGCGATCGGCTACCAGCGTGGTGATGACCACGATGATGATGATGATGATGATGATGATGCCCATAACGATAATGATCCTGATGAGTATTGAAGGATCATGATAACGAGATTGATACCGGCACGAAAGCTCAGAACTGCTAACGCGCGCGACAATTTTTGAAGGTCAAGATTTGCAATCTTAGCTTCGGATCAGCGAGTCTGACCGCACATGTTCCCACCCCTCATAGGATGAGCATCGGGCATTCCCACGCATATAGGACAATTCCAGTCTTTTGTCGGGCTGCAGGGCTTACGCGCAGCAGTACCGTGCCGAGTGGTCATTACACTTGACCCTCCAAAACCAGATCTGCCCATGCATCACTTCCCCACACATGGCACGGAAAGCGCTGACTCAAGCAAGTGAGGCAACCACTATTCCGCAGACTCTCTTCCTGTACGTTGGAGGGGATTTGTGGGCAGCAGCAGCGGGAAGGAAGAGAACAAGCCAGGAGGCAAAGTAGTTGCAGCGCTTCCCTTGCAGTTGTGCCACAAAGAAACCTCAAGAAGCAACGGGCCACGTGGAAAAAAACTCACAAGCAAAGGCACATAGATGCTTACCCAAGTAGCAAAGAGCAGAGCGTCGTTGGCCTGAAGACAGCCAGGACGTGCGGCCAAAGGTGCCTTCCCGCTGCAAGGATGGCGTGTAGAAAACAATAAGGAAGAGAGTGCAGTGACAGTTCCAGGGGCTCAAGATCAGGCATTTCGGATCAAACAAGGCATCCAGGCCGCACAAACCGCTTCCCAGCCAGCCCGTGCCGGTAGCAGTTCGACTACGACACCTCCTTGCTACAGCAGGAGGCGGAGCAGCAGCTACAAAATGCAAGCGAGAGGAGAAGGAGCAGCACCAGTCGCTCGCAGATGCTATCAGCAGTGTCCCACAAGGATGGAAAACAAGCCAAGCACCTCCCGACACGCAGCCCGAGTTCGAGAAAACACAAAAGCGAAGACTGTGTCCTTCGCTCGACATTGGAAAAACACCCTTGGCAGTGCAAGCAACAATGGCGCACCGACAGTCAAGTGGCGAAGGCAATCCGACAGACCCCACGGCTACACCACCAGTGACACCACAACTACCGAACAGCAACAACCAGAGCAGCAGCACACACAGCATAACGTGAAGACAGAGTTGGTGAGACCCTTGGCGCAGCAACTGGCAGCACGGATGGGGCTAGGACACCGAGCACACCCCTCACGCCACCAAAAGCGCACGACACAAGGGGGCCAGCAGTTCAAGCAACAAGAATGGACCGGCGAACCCATTTTCATGCACCCCAGCACGTTCACCCTGGCCATTCACCAGCGGCAAGACACCAAGGGAGACATGATGCGCGTGAGTACTTGCGAGCAAAAGCATGAGGTCCTTAGCCTGATTGCCGCGCACGATTGGCAGAAGGAGCCCACTATGATCCTCACAGCTTTGGCAGCCAGGCAAGTTGAGGGCACCCATCACGCCTTCATGATTTGCTATAACAAGCAGCACGGCACGAGGATAAGGGAGGTTGCCTACATCCGGCCTAATGCCACGAAGACATTCCCGTGGATACACAAGCCCGCGCCGGTCCTCGAAACAAACGTGCAAACCGTGGCAAGGACCACAGTGCGCATTACATATCCCCCTGGCACCATCGGGTGGAACGAAGAAGTTCAGGGCAGAAGCATACCTTGAAGGTCCCCAACGCCGCAGCACAGCAGCTAATCCGGAACAGCGGATACACAGGAGTCTTTGCCTGCGTATTGGGCAAGCAGAAGTCGGGCAGCAAGCTCTACTGGTATCCTGAAGAGTCCGAAGAGGATGCCGACAGTTACCTGGTGAGAGTGAGAGCGCTGGCGCAAGAGAGGAAAGAAGGCCTTCTCCTAAAGAACGGGGAGGTGAGCTGTCGAACTCGGTCTACTGACCACAAACCTGCTCTTCAACCCCAACATCCGCGTCGGATAGCATCAGGCTGTCCAAAGGAAAGGCAAGGAGACGGAGTTTGCCAGTTTATGCAGGATCGAAGTTGACAGGATGTCAAGATAAGCAACAAACAAAAAGCGCACAAGCAAAGAAACACGAAATCAGCAACTGGTGGTTACGTGCGAGGCCACCCGCCACCAATGCAACCCGTGCGGCCGGGGAATACGATGCCAGCATCGACAACCGCTGTTGCCTCATTCATGTGCTCAAGGCCCCACAAAGAGCAGCCCACAGCAGCTTGGACACAGCTACAGCCGCGAGAGAGTCAACACCAGCAGCAGCCCAGCTGACCATACCCAGCTTGACGCCCAGTCCCAGACGTCAAGGAGCAGCCAAATGCAACCAAAGCCGACATAAAGGTAGAGTGCGGAGGCGAAGGAGAGTGTGGCAAGCTCTGCCTTGCCAACACCTGCGCCTGGAGCATGGCAAAACCGAGGACTGAGGAATCCATATCACGCGAAGCAGCAAATTTGCGAGCAAGCTACTTTCAAACACATCACACACCACAAGGGCAGATACAAGCAATTTCGGGGTCAGAGCCAACAGGACAAGGAGGACATCACAAGCTTCGAGGACTGCGTCGAGAGTCGAGACACTTCGCAAGCAATCAGCACATGTGTGCAGCTGAACGCACACCACAGGTTTTCAGTCAGCATCAGACTTGTTCCGGCAGAGCAGTGACCTATGTGAAATCTTGTGGTGGGCATGAGGAATTTCAGTTCAGTACCTGCCAATCATGGGATTGGCATACACAAGTGTTACTTACAGCGTCTTTACCACTGTGGCGCCGTAGTGGCCAAGAATTCATATGAGGCCTGACGCCTCAATAAGTTTTCACGACGTATATTCAGGATTCGGGTGAGTGGTGTATGTTATGCAGAGAATCCGATCCGCTAATACATTTACCACTGCCACAACCAGGACAGAGATGAAGAACATTAAGGCTACCGCTGCTCAATACAACGGTTGCGGCCGCAGCAGTGTCGCCACTTTTGGACGTTTCGTGTTTTGGGGGGGGCTGGGGCGGTCGAGGGGTGGGTAAAAGTGTATGTTGTTTGGTTGCATCCACAGCAATGGCAAGCTTCATTTAAGAACCCCGTAGATGCATGCGGCTTTGGGAATAGATGTTGCGCTCGGCATGTGTTTCAGGAAGCGGCGTTTCTTTGTTTTTGACGTTGTTTGTTTCTATTTTCGGTAGACGAATGTGCATGATCAATTTGTGCGTTTCGCTGTGGTCTTGGCGCCATTATTAGATGATTTTGTCGCTGCCCAGAACGGGCTCGAACATGAACAGCTTGTATGGGCAGTATGTGACAGTACGTGGGGTTCAAGGCTTCAAGGGTCATGTTTGCAGGAATGTTTTGCGAGAGCATGGTTCGTAGCAGATCACTTGCTCAAGGCCCCCGCATACGCCATCATGCTAAAAGTAAACGTAGTCCGAACCCTCCTTTTTCAAAGTGGTTCGCATGTGTGGCCGTGGACCGGGAATGAAAACCAACAAATCAAAATGCATTAGAAAATACAGGAGAGCGCACATTTCCCTGATCGAACACGCGACGAAAGAAAAATCACCGTAAAATTGTGAAGCGTTTTTTGTTTGAAGCCCTGTCTGGGCAGCAACAAGCCTTCCAGATCGCGCCAAGACCACAACGGGGCGTACAAAATGGATCATATGCCCTGGTCTGCAAAAAGTAGGAAATGTCAAACATTTGCCGCTTTTTTGAGCCCAAATGTCCATGTTCGAAAACTCATGCTTTTTGGCACATGGCGAAAACAGCTGACAATCATTCCACGGCCGCGTTTGCGAATCTTGCCATGTTGCTAGTACCATGACTCCTGCTACCGACGCTGCTGCTTTTAGCACGGCGACCACCACCTCGGCCGAAACCGCCGCCGCCACCACCACCATCACCACCACCATCACCGCGACCGCCACCGCCGCCGCCGCCACCGCCACCGCCACCGCCGCTGCCGCCACCGCCACCGCCACCACCGCCACCGCCACCGCCTACTGGCGAGTGATCAGAGTAAAACAGATGGCACACAGGAGCTCGCACCGCGGTTGCCCGTTTGTTACTACTAGTACCAAGATGACAGACAGCCTACACTGATGATAGTTGTAGTGAAGCCGTATGATTGCTTTGAAATGAGGCGCCAAAAGCTGCATTGGCGGTAGCAGTAACAGGAGCTGACAACAGCCATCATCATTCTCGTGAGGAATTTCAGAACACTTTAGTAGCAACAAGATAATGGTGGGACAAACCCATTGTACCAAGACTCAGCATCGTGGTCCCCTGCCTGTTTAAATTGGTGTGCCAAAGCATCTCAATAATCGGCACGGCTCATCTACCCTTGGCTCCCAGATTACCTGGCGAACGGGCTTGTGAATTTTCAAGTTTAGGGATTATGGTCCAAGGCAGTTTTGGGGTAAGGAGGGTTCACAAGCAAGAAAATGTCACGGTCCATCAAAACTGGA